TGAATACCATTTTGTAATGATAATTTGTCGGTTTATTTAACATTTGAGATCCAAGTATATCCTGGCTGGGTACAGAGATCTTCCCATCGAAGAAAAAAATATTTAACTATTTTCTTCATCAGAGATTAGAATCATTCATAGTCTTGCTGGTGTAAACTGTAGTTGGTTGGCTAAAGTTGTAGTTATCATTTCCTGAAACTGTATTACTTGGGGCTCATGTCCTCAGTATATTGTGATATTCATTAGTCAAATAAATCGAATAAAATGTGCTTTGCCCAATTAATCCAGTGATTATTGGTAATGGTGTAATTCACTGAGGGTCGTAAATAAAATGCGGTCAAAGACCATTTTCCGTCCACTGCAATATCCCGCGTTATGCGTGAAATGGAACGTAAAAACAGGACAAACAAAGGTCATAGCAGGGTCATGGCGCCGTAGCAGCGACAAACATCGCTTAGGATTCGACAAACGCGAAATTATTTTTTGGGGATATTTCCATGTTAATAATGTGCTGTACACATTTGACGATGGTCAATTTCAATGAAGTAAGGGTATTTAAACGCAATATTCCGCTGTAAAAGATCTGCCTTTCAAGTTTAAAATCGAATCGTTCGATTTTGCGATAGACGTTCGGTGCGAGTCTTTCACGCAACTCGCGAAATCTCAAAGACTTTTATTCTAATATAATGCAAGTCATTTAATGCAGGATGCGGGAGACGATCCATCCAAATATAAAAGACACCCGGAAAATTGCTGGCGACTTGACAAGTATGCGTTTTTATTCACATACACGAGCATATTGTGCACACTACCGACACGAAACAGTCCCTAGCGCCGACAGAGGGCGCACGAATATATTATAGATAATAATTCAAGCGTCGAGCAAACAAAACAATATCTAAAAATTGTACAATTAACAGTTGTATTTTTTCTCGAAAAATTGTAAAAACCAAGGCAATGTTTGAACTAAATTAAATTTGAACGTGTTTCAAACGGAATTCAGTCTATGAAATCACAATTTACCCACAATCCTTCGCAATACAATCAAGATGGTGCACTGTATAATACTGGTCGAATGTCTGGAGAATGAAAAGTGACATAAAAATCACTTAACTTTATTAATGAAAGTATTTATATTGAATTTGTCAGCACATGGATTCTTAAGTTTGTTCTAAATTAAAACCCAGCCAAATTGGTTTCAAATCCGTCACCAAAGTCAAGGCTTTTGTATCTATGTTACTGTAAAATGACTAATTTTCACTGGGTTTAAATTTCACTGATTTGCCATTTCAGGCATATTCAGTGGGTTTTAAATTCACAGTTTCGTCATTTAGATAATGTGTTCTATGCTAAATTTTACATATTCACTGGTTTTTAATTTAGCGCATTTTCCAGTCAGCGAAATAAGCTAAATTAAAACCCAGTGAATAATTACCCCCTTTACAGTAATTAAAGTTCAAGCTACTACATGCAGAGGTTCAACAAAAACAAAAAGGTACATTGCCTGTAACTAAAGTTTTGTTAACCGTTAATTGAACTGCAGGTTACAATTTGGATGTGGTTTGTCAAAAGTGAGCATGGTTTAAAAAATATTGGCATGGTCATAGCCCAGCAACATTTTCCCAGCACTCGTTAAAATCAGTCAGTGGCAATGTGCTCTTGATTTTCCTCTCCTAGTTTTTTAACGCATAGCACATTTCAATCCCCTTATAATCACAGACCACATCATTGGTTGATGCATAGTATCGCTCAGCACCCATTAAAGCATGTACACTTCGAGCCTCAGACTCGTGGAAAACAAATTTTTGACCTGTTTATTAATTTGGTTACATTATTGCATTAAATCATAAGCATCAGTCTCAAGTGAGCGCATCGTAGACTATTAAAGTGTTGCCAATAAATCGGCAAGGTTTCCTCACACTATGACTTGCTAAAAACCTGCCAAGTTAATTTTTTGTAGTTTATCATGTTTGTCAACATAATTATGTCTATTATGTGCTGGAAAATCCCCGTTGCAGCACTGCATGCGATTTAACTTTCTCGCACATCCTCAGATTTTCCCAGATAAATTCAACATCTTGTCTTGATCAGGATGTCTAATCTGATTTTGAATCTTTTCATATTCAAAATTGTCAAATATTTTGATTATGCAGTGTAAAGTTATCCACCAGCGATTAAACACATTTATACCCATAGAATTAGTTGAAGGTGTGGTTGACTTGGTTTTTATGCATTGTTCAGATATTGAACCTCGCTGCAGTCCTCGTCATTCACTGATTGCAATTCACGATTGCCAAAAACTTTGACCTTCCAGCAAGCAGTGCAATTTAGTCAAATATTCAGGGATTTGATTCCTTTGACCACACCAATTTGACCTGCATGGCTATGTCATGTTTACATTTTTCTCAACATGCGAATGTTTGATAACTGTTTCTCCCTGATCTGTCACGACAAGCTTGCCAATAAATTCCTTTATTAACAGGGACATGTACTTTTTAAATACAATGGCAGCTCATATTTTATTTTTTGCATGCAAACAATCTGTTCTTGCCAACCAGTCAATGCATAAAAGCTAAACAAGCGAGACTACACCCCGGTACTTATAGCAGAAATATGCCCAACGTGTTTTCCAGATAAATCTGTATAAATAATGAACAAAATGTGCTGAAAAGTGTAAACCACTTTAAATTCACGAGACAAGAGTATCGCTAACGCTAACTTTTAAACATTTCCCAGGGGTGGGTGGTGTCCTCTCAACAGGAAGTCTACTTTTATCTGCAAAATGTGTTAAATGCTGCGCTAAATGTTTGGTAAGACTGACAATCTAGAAAATTTCTAGCCTTAAAAATTAATCTGTTTAAGGTAGCCTCATCGAGAGGTGAAGTCAGGACAACTGACACTGGTTCTTTAAAATGTGGGTGAAAGAACCCCTCACTGATGTGTGTGTGGATATACAAGACTGAAAACATTTACACTGCCAATGTGAGATTCACTTTTAATCCTTTTACTGATGGAAATACATTAGAAGAATTCACTCAATATTACGTTCTGGGTCCCCTGAAACTCACACCAGGTGTGATTGGCTGTGTCACTTGCAGATTGGTAATACTGCCAAAATCCTGAAATGAACAAAATAGAAATTAGTAAGTTTAGATTCAACAAAAACAACATGGACTTCATTCCAAATTATTGAAGGATGTTATCGCCGATGTCTAAACTGTACACAGTTCAGATGTGTGAAGTATCCAAGTGAAAATTTAAACGCAAATCTGAATGTACAATGAGCGTCTTGGCAGCACTTTTTTTTTTATTGGACAGGTAGTGACAGATGTTACAAAAGCCAATTATATCACATTATATAATTTGTATTACATGGCATGATCCATACAAAAATCACCCAAATAACCATATGCAGGATTGTAGACTAAATTAATATCTGTCAGAGGAAAAGACATTTACCAATCATTAAATAGTGGGGTTCATAATAATAGTCAAACTACTGTAAATACTTTATTTTAGCTGGAATTAATTTTCGCTAAAAAAACCTTTTGGGTGTTTTGTGTGGAATTTATTTTCATTGATTTTTGGCGAGTTGAATTGTAAAATAGGAAAAAAATGTATATTCACTGGATTTTATTTTCACTGAATCATTCCTTCAAGAAAAATTAATTCAAATGAAAATAAAGCATTTTACAGTATGCTCATTGTGGAACTATGCAAAACGCAAGTAAGTGGAGTTGCGTGTGTAGAAATTTGTGTATCATAATTAGCAAGATGGAAATAGGATAACTTTTATATTATCTATAATGTGTTATATGTGTGTTAATTTCGTCATGCAGCATGCTTTTGAATTACAACACGTTATAACCACCACCTACCATTCAGGTTAAAAATTGTCCTTATTTTGCCAACAAATGGATGCATCTAATCTCTTTTGGGGTAACTTTATAATAAACTGCATGTGCATGTTAAATATAAATCTGTTAACATGCAAACTTGAGAATAAACTTACAAGAACTACTTTTATAAAAGATTGAGATTATGACAATTCGAAAGTAGATTTTGGGACCTAAAATCCGTATTTTATGGTAATCTTACCAAAACTTTCAACATCTCCTTTGTATCAGAGTCCACTTCAATGATGTCTTGTTCGAGAGCGGATACATCTGGCACAAAGTTGTCTCTCCTTTCTCGCTCCTCTTCTTGAAGCTTAATTGATATACCCCTGACTGGACCACGCTGAATACGCCTCATAAGATGGGTCACAAACCTGATGTGAAAAAATAAATGCAGTCAATGCAAAGCTACTCTAATACAAGAGTGTATGTAGGCTGTCGGACACCTAACAGTCAGACCAATCAAGAGGGGAGCTTGTTTGTTGACCAGTCTGATTTACACAGTAATCCTATCAATTAGGCAAACTAATTTACGAGGAAAAATTATTGTTATCCTCTTAGTTTGGCCACATGGTTAGTTTACTATCAACTTCAGCTGTTTGTTTTCCCCGCAATGAATAAAAATAAAACAAGTTAATGTTTTTCTGTTCTATGTACTTAACACCCCTGTTTTATCCATAAAGATGTATTGATGACTCCCAGACGTGGATGTGACACCGTTCGTAAACATGTTAATGATTTGATTGAGTGGGGACAAAGACAAGCACGTCTGTCTGCACGTCAAACTGGTGTCATATGCTAATCAGCAATTAGGGGAATAACTTGTGATTGGCTGTGACTTCGTGATTTTCCATAATGCTTGTTTTCAGGAAAGTATAATGAAATGTTGATAAATTACAACTGCATCTTTGATGACTGCAGCAAATGGCATTTTCATGAAGTGGTTGTTTCTTAAAAGACTTCAGTGTTGAGCACTGTTTACTGTAGTTTTCTCCACCAAGGTTGCAGTTTCCCATGAAATATAAATATATGCAAGATTGTTTTCTGCTCCTTGGTTAGTTTACAATTAATCTGTATGCGACTGTAAAATAAACAGTCAGTCATTTAGCTTTTCTTTCAAATTCTTCGTTTCACACACACAAACATGCACGCCAAAATTACTGTGAATAGAATTCACTGGTGTGTGACACTAGATTTGTATTTTTGACTGCCTGAAACATGGATGTTTTAGACAACTTTATTTTGTGAATTGCCGTTGCGAAAATTTCTTGCAAATGCGACATAAATATGGGACTTCTTGTCACTCACTAAAAGTCTTTCATTAGATTTAAAGCACACACACGATTTCTCTATGACAATGTCCTGAATCAACTCATTTTGTCAAAGCTACAACTAAGTTACTGCTATTCCGCAATCAATGCATCATGCAACCATGTTCGTTACCAAGAAAAACGTAACCAAAGAAACCTTGATTGTAATATGTCAGTCAACCTATCCAGCTACTTCAACACCAAAGGCTGTTTCCACAAAAGTCGGTAGAGGTATTTTACAAATCCTTAAACATCAAACAATGCTATGGAGTTTATTAGGAGGCCAAGATAATGGGATTTAATGCTGCTGCACGAAAATACAAAAAAGCTCCATCTAACGTTGAAAGGGTGGGGGCAAGCAAAATTTTGATAAGAAACAATTTACATTTAGTGGTAGAAGACAGGGTTGAGGTTTTATGGCTTGCAATTAGATGAACCTGTTCTTATTTGGGTACTTCGGCAATGCGAGCTGGCGATTTCCATTACCATGGACACAATACTTGTGGTTAAAAGCGTTGTGTGACTGGTTCGAGACATTTATAAAGCATAACAAGCTAATCTTACTGTTAAAAACCTGTAGCACAAAGGTTACCTGCAGAAATGGAAGTGAAGTATTTTGACATTTATCCGCGACAAATGGCGAGATTTTACCTACATCTAAAACGTGAACGGCAGTTTTATTTGGTTCCGAACAAAACTGTAGATGTGAAAGGCACCAAGACTGAAAGTCTGCACTACGGGCGAAGAGAGAAGACACTTGAGATAACAGTTGATTTGACAGTGGTGTCAAATGAATATATTCTGCCTCCAATGATTATTTTCAAGAAATAAGGGAAACTAAAGTTACAATCTCTGCCTGGTTTTGTTGTGATCATCCAGGAGAGTTGATGTTGTGCTGGATTGACGAAATTTGAAGGCCATACTACTACTCAAGGTTGTTATTGGTTCATTTCAAGCACACATCACTGAATCAGTAAAGTCCAGATCTCGCAGTGTGAACACATTATCTGTCGTAATTCCAGGCTGCAGATCTTTGTATATAGAGGAAATAAATCCTGTGCGTTGGAAGAATTAGAAACGATTGAAGTCCACATTTCCAGCTTTCAAAACAAAAACACCCTTTGGCAAACAACTCAAACTATCAGTAAATTGTGGAAACATTTGGACTTACCGGTACCTCATTTGAAGAGTTATTACAAAAATATTTTCTCAAGCAGTCAATGAGACATGTTTTGGCATCAAAGGAGATTGGTAGTTGGTGACGCCATAGTCTAATTGTGTGCAAGAGCCCATTTATTGCTGATATTGTGGGATATTGGCAGTGTGATATCACACGACTTTATCACATGAAACGTGCATGATGCATGTGATAATGGAAAACACCAACAAGGATTTAAAAGAGTCGCATGAATTGCTAGACGATCACACAATCGTGAAAGAAAACTTCTCAAACTTTCAATGCAAATTATAAAGTCAAAAAACATTCACTTCAGAACGCTTTGATAGCGTACTTGCTTATTTGCTAAGCGTGCAATACATGGGTTTGTGAAAGCGGTGATAAATCTCATTTATGTTTGTGCAAGCGAACCTTCCCACTGCATTCTCTGATGCTATTACCGTAAAATTCCTTTTTGAGGCCGCAGCTCTAATAGAAGCCGCACCCCTAACTTGAGACATTGTTTCATGTTGAAATTGACAAGTTTTGATCCCAGGGAAAAGTCTGCAATATAAGCCGCACCCCAAACTTTCACAAACCAAACAGCCACCACATATTTCAGAAAAAGATATACCATTTAATTTTAAATTAAGGCATAATTTTTCGAACATTTCAATGATTCCTGACACTTAAATTTGAGTCTAATTAAGGTTTTCCGTAGTCATTGACGCTTATTCCAGAGTACAGGTTTATTGTGGGTAACGTGACTGGGTAAACTGCGTTTCGACAATGAGCTGTTATTATCTTCAAAAGTGTTAAATTCTTCTTCAATGCTCAGCTTATCTTTCGAAAACAACTAATTTCTTGATTTAAAAAAAAATCATGCCGTTTTTCCCATCAAAATCAAACCCAAACGATCGCACTACAACAACGGTAAATCTCTTCCGTGTTTCGTTTACCATGAGGTCACTGAACTACATTAACATATTTAAATGAGCTATGGTAATTTAATCACGTTGGCACCATCCAGCGTTTCGATTGGTTAATTAGCGACTTGACCTATCAGGTCAACATAACAGTTTCAAGTCACTAAAGATGTTTGAACTAACATGGCGGATATCGTATCGGATCGGATCGAGCATTTATATGTGACCAAAATCATTCACTTGCGGTGAAACTAAGTTGAATTTTCACAACAATTCAACAAATTTATTTTTTGTACATTATTGTAATCACTACTGATCAATAATCAGCAATTGTAACACTTCGAAAACAAGTAAGTTATTCACTTGTGTGAAACGCAGCATGACCGTTACCGTGATCATTTGCTACTAAGAATGCATTCGTTTTTGTTTCGACTTCTTTTAGAATATACTTTTTGTTATCAAAAATAAGAAAATAAATATATACAGTAAAACCTGTCAAAACCGACCATGACTGGGACTGGGATCTATGGTCGGTTTTCAGAGGGAGTCGGTTTATTCAGGGTGGGCATAACTTTGATTGAAACAACAATTACATGTGCTGTAAACACGGGACAAATGAAAGACACCGGAGTTTGCCTCCGGTGATTATACATGTATTTACATTTATTGTATTGTTTCAATAAAATAATTTACCAAACAAGACAAGAATATTATGGTATGTACATGAAATCAATAAACATTAAAATAACTGTTGGAACAGATCGGGTAAGTATCGCGTATCGTAACTGAAGGCGTCCATTTTGAATGACATCACAACCTAAGTTCACGTGAGCTACATGTAATTAATATAATTTATGCAGACAGTTGATTATGCTGTTAAGTCAATGAATCAAATTACGATGTAAAAAAATCATCAATTTTTCACCGCTTTAAAGAACATCTTTTTTCTATGATTTTGTTCGTTCGAATTATGAAATTTTGGATATCTGTCAAGTAGCTGGAGTCTTTGTTTATTGCGAAGTTTTGTAATCTTGTCAACATGTCTAGCACATCGCCATG